GCGCACACACACACAAACACACACAGACAACCCCGTGACAATATGCGCTTTGTACTGCTGTTACACAGCACAAAACGCATAATAATGTATATGGCTTCCCTCTTTCCCTCTTTTCCCGCAGACGAAAACAAAAACAATAATTCCTCTCTGCACACCTAATAAAAATGACTGCACTCCGATTATATATAATAATATATATAATACATAATAATATACATGGGGTATGATAAAATATGATACATATATATATATATATATACATATATGTAATCTTCGGATTTTATATAAGTATATAAAATCCGAAGATCATATACATAAAATGACTGCAGTTCGAAGATTATATAAAATCCTCTGGATTAGCTGCGACTACAAATTTTCCCTCTTTTGCTCATCTTCATCGCGTTGCTGGAACCGATACTATAGCAGATCTTTATTTAATCAAAAAACACACACAATACTCACGGCGTCCTCACAATCCCTGAGGTTCATAACAACACAGTACGCCAATCAGTAAACATCAAAACTGACTCAACTGCGACTCACTCCATCCGACTCCCATGAAGGAATGTCGTTTCAGGTGGTGGATGCTTATCTGCTCCACCACACAGTGTTACTAAAAAAACAACGGCATATGTACTCTATATTGGATTAATTGCAGACGAGGTTCATCTACAATGTTCAGTTTGGCTGATATCATCCAGACTGTCATCATATTATTTTAACGTCTAATTTGTAATGATGTACGTAGCACAGGCCTACTAAAGAAGAACCTGTAATGCGTGGTCTAAATCGTAAGGCAGAATGGTACTGCTGAGACACTGTGTTGGAAGCTCAAATCAACCTGCTTCTGAATTTCAAGCAGCGTTCATTTGAAACAGTCGATAGCAATCTTACAACGATGGATTGCTGTCGAAAAACTGGTACTGTGTGCATAAACTAGCAACAAAGGGCTTGTCTCTGAATGACTGTTTGAAAAGTCTTGCTGAATCTATTAACTGCCTTATCAGATAATTGAGTGTGAATGGCCATAAGGGAAAACGCCAGATCTGCCACTTCTACGACTGGTGCAGCAAACTGCAGTAAGTGGGAATCGGCAAGCGGAAATTTGCAGGATTTACACAACAGAATCATCCCAGTTAGTGAAATGCCAAATTCTTCTGGGAGGTGCTCACTTGCGTTTTGAAGGTGAAAAAGTTGAAGGAACCCAAACACAGAACCAAATTGTTCTAATGGGGTAAAAAGCGCTTTTTTTTCTGCCGCTTCCAGAAGTCAAGAAATCTGCCTGGATCAGCGTTGCTGTTCAGCAAACTCACGATTTCAGGGGTCGAGTTAGTGATCACATCCACGTAATACATGTTTGCGATGCGCGTTGCATTGGTTGACTTCCTCACACAGCGGTACCATCCCATTTCCCTGCGACCCGCTTTAGGCAAGATGAGCTCAAAGAGATCGCCAAGCTTTGCCTGGTTCTTCTCGCGTGTCATAAATCTGAATTTCGAATGTGTTATATTGCAGTTTTGAAGCGGAGGAACAGTGATTACTACAGAGTCATTCGGGTAATTATTCAGTTTGAAAATTTGGACAAAATTCTGTAGAGCGCATTTTGAAAGATTCTTGATCATTAAGCGAGCATTCCATTAGTCGATCATGTGGTTTAAAGGAAAATTTTACTAAAATTTTGAAAAAAAAAGCATAAAATTTATAATTTAACTGTCAAGCAGGAATATTTTGGTCCTCGAAATCATAAACGTTTCTGCTGAGCACTACAGCTGGACCTTGTCAGTATTACAGTTGTAGTCATTAGAGCGGATGATCATTTCTAGACATTTCATATAGCAAGACTGCCTGGGCCCGGATCTCTGGACTTTAAAATCCCAGTGGATCTGCTCTGAGAGGAAGTGAACTTTACTCACATCATCACCAGAATAAGTTTAAATGAATGCAATAAATTGCTCTGGAAGCGTGACATTCGCCAAACCTCTTGATAAGAGTTACTGTTTTTTGGACCACTGAAAGTGATGGATCGATATCCACTACACTTCGCCACTGCCCATGAAATTTTGTACTAAAATCGGCCTTTTCCCATATATAATTCCATTCATTTTTCTGCTCCTTTTTGTGGCGCTCAACTTGTGACAGGATAAACTGCAAATGGTCTGATTCCAGTGAGGCTTATAAGGGATTTTTCTGAATAGTAATATTCCAAACTAGCTTCGTACCATCTGAGATAATGAGAAGTAAGCTCATGGACCGAGCTTTTGTTCTTAGCAACACACGCACCTCCTTCACTTTGTCGATAATTTGACGTGTCTTTTTTCCGATGAACGTCTCATTCGGCTTCCAGACCTCTTCCACTTCAGTCTGCTCCTCCGGGCTCAAGCTAAACTTTACGTTTTATTCTTTTAACAGAATCATAATTCACTGAAAAGCTTGGCCGGCACCTTGCCACCAAATGCCTCGTTTTAACTCATTTTCAAAGTGATTTAGAACCCATGCATCTCCACACTAAGCTTTTCGTATTCAGCAAATTTTAGCTTAACCCTAGTGGCTCTGGCCGGCAAAGCGTTTAATTCCTCCACTGAACACATTGTCTCCAGAGTTGTTTCGATTTTCATGCACACTGAACTAGACCGATGCCTAAGTGCGCGAGGTGCTGGAAGTGGCTATCAGCTCCTGCCTCCTTCCCTCCCGCCGTTTCTCTTGCATGAGCAGAATAAGCGCATACCACTGGAAGCAGGGCAGCACAAGCTCGGAGTCCCGGAGAACAGCGATCGCATGTACTGTTGTTTGCTTGTGCGCGGTTATCCACTTCTCCCTCTCCATTAGGCACCTCCTGTAGATAGCCAGCTTACGACTGTACTCTTCTTTGGCTTCATCCGTCGTTTTCTGTTTTTTCGCTGCCCTAAGAAAGCAAATTGAGCTTGACTCTGTTACTGACTTGTTCACATTGTTATATCTTTACCAGTGGCGCCTTTTTATCATTTCTGTCACAACGGCTGGATCGCCCAACTTCTTCATTACCTTTCTGCCTTTAACAAGTTTTATACGCTTTGTGCTGTGTAACAGTTGCACAAAACCCATATTAATACGCCTTCTGTCGTACGTGTTTCAGAGGACATTATGTCACGGGTTCTAAATTCGGAAATCAGAAAAACTAGGGAGCTGAAATTTTGGAAGGATATTCCCTTCTCACGTGCGACCCCGCAAATTTAAAATCAGGCTTTACGCACGCCTAAATTTTACGTACGAGAAAATGCAGTTTCTGCCCGAACAAACATTCCGCCAATTTTTACACTATCCAGGTAGCAAAGCAGTGAACCCTTAACAGCAAACGCTCGCTAGGCAGAATTGCACAAAACGCATTTCTGCACCAGCTACTCTTGTGTGCGTCACTATTTATTTCTTCACGATTCTCTACTTTTCGTTAGCAAAACAAGTTATCGTTCCAAAATAACAACTAATGGAGAGCTACGAGAAACACCCCAGTACGTCCGAAACGTGATACACCCATTGGGAAGGAAAATCCTCCGATAAGCAGTGGTACGGAGAATGTCCACCCTCTGTCTCGTTTTTGATTCTTATAGAAACGAGCTGTTTTCACAGAGGATGCCGTGGTGTGCCCACTAAAAATCAGCAGTAGAAGCAACCAGTGCCAGTTGCGCACTTTCATGGCCTGTGTTGAGTTCGAACGTAAGAGTCGTTTGCCTAACAAGAAATTTTAAACACCAAAAAAGAGGGTCCGATTCTGTTCGGTATGACATGTTAGTCCAGAAAAGCTCCAGCAGAAAGAGGACCGCAGAAGATCGCAACCCATCTCAAAAGTTGATCGAAGCACAATACCAGCAAGACGGCAGAAGAAGCAATGAAAGAAACAAAAAGGAAGAAGCGGCTATGCCAGATGTCGACCACTGGAGCATTGCCAAAGTACCGACCGCTCAGCTCCGTTCTTATTCGCCCACATGCACGCATAAGATTGCAGAAACGCAGTACAGCTGACCGTCTAATTTGCGTATTTATATTTCTTGGCTGCGTCAGTCAAGAGCAATCGGACCTTTCTCTATAAAATGTGATGTATCGTGGACTTCCTTCAGGAAAATGTAACAAACCATTGACGACGCGCACCAGGCGGGCCCGTGCGAACACGCGTTTTTGCAGCACTTCGTGCTGTAGTAAGATCACTTAGAATACCAATAGCCAGGATTTGTGACATGCTGATCCTCGAAGTTCAGAAAATTAATTGTGCAACTGCGTGATACTTGGACAAATAACATCCCGTTAAAACTTCAACTTTCCAGTTGTTCCTGTCCTAAGTTAGCGATTTTTCCGCCAAAACTTTCACGTGCCTGTACACAAGGTCCAAATGTGCGTGAGGGTACTGCGGTTCTGGGATAGCACTTGGCGGTGAACTCATCGGTAAAATTTCAGCGCCGAAGTTTGCTTGGTTGCCGAGCTGAAATACACGGACAGACTTACACACACACAAATACGCACACTAGGTTTTGTCACAATATGCGCTTTTGCATTTGCATGTATGCAAAAACACAGAACAAATCGAAGTGGCGATGCTCAACACATACACCAAGGGCACATTTGACTGACTAAAGGCTTGCCAAGTACGCCTGCCAAGAGGAGCGCTGGAGCTGGAACCCTTTTAGAAGATGAATGAAAGTCCGAATCGTAACCAGGCTAACTAATAGGCGATGCAGTACCGATCAAAGCACTGGTAACAGTTGCACAGCTGGAGAACTAGACAATAAACTAGTACGAAGAACTCTGTGCAGTACGAATGCTGCCTAATAAGGACTGTTTGCTGAAAAAACCGCCGAGTGTCGATCGGTGGAGCCACAGAGATATTAGAAAGACATCAAGATTTATATATATATATATATAAAATTTTATTAAAAAAACCGGATGAATAGGAATGTTTCGTTCCAGCTGCAGATATTTGCTGTTCAGCACCACAAATAGGCCTCATCAATACGACGGTTTTGGTGTTAGTAAAAGAAAGAAAATAAAATTTATTTTTGTAAAGTAACTGGTTATAATTTTAAGGACTTAAAAGAAATTTAATGTCTCCTGTTAGCTTTTGTGTATCGTTCGCTCGTCTGGAAAACTCCGAATCAGTCAGTCCGTTACCGTTAATGTCAGTACATCGAATATAACAGCTGCGGCATGACTCGAAAGCATAACACGACATTTTCATTCCTCTTTTTTCGTACAGCAGTTAGTTCTAATTTCCCCATACATTACTAATGGTTAGCATTAACTCACTTCTAGCATGCTGCAACTCTTTCTTTCCTACATTTCTCTTCTCTTCTACACATACAACAAATTTCTTTTCTTTTAATTTTCAGCATTAGAATTGCAATAATAATTGTAATTACCGTTTGTATCATTATTATTATTACCCCTTTTCTTATTGTTGTTGTTATCACTACTGTTACTGTTATTATTATTATTTTCATTACCATTGTGATCTATTACACCGTGTGTGGGCAACCGGTAGCCCGCGGATCAGATCCGACCCGCCACCGGTTTTATTCTGGCCCGTGAAGCGTGAATTGGAATGTGGCGCCTAATTAGACGAGCAGGGGGTTTGCACTCCGCCATGCGCCCCGCACTCTCATGAAAATTAATAAAACCAAAATACGCATGAGACTAATAGATGACGGTCTGGAAAATACTTTGAGACATTTTGTCAGTAACATAAACCCAGATTTCAACAATCTTGTGTCAAAAGCTCAAGCTCAGAGCTCACATTAACCAACTGTTGGCTATCATGCAATGGTACCGTCTTAGTCGACGCCCTTTTTCTTTGTATGCAAGAAAAGACCAAAACACAGTCGAATGAGTTGCACATGTTAAAGTGTAAAGCAACAACCATCCACACTGTTGATGGATGGTCTGATTGCGTCAAGTTTAGCTGAAAAACGCATGACCACACGGGCAAGCCTGGTGCGCTGCTACTTGTGTTTTATTAAAAGGTAGCCAGCAAGCTGAAGTAAGCATGAAGATCAGGCTCACGTGTTTCCAAAAGTTGCCATGCCTGCATTACACTTTCCAAATCATGACCTAGCTGTGGTGGTATACTGATGAGGGGTTTCGCCACATCCTGGTATTTCTCGGTTTTTGCTCTGAAACCATTACGGAAGGGCCATTTGTACTGCGCATGATAGTCCATCACATTTTTCTTTGAACATCTTTATTATTATTATTTATTTTCCCCTGCCCTTTTATGCGTTTTTGCATAATATGCAAATGCGAAAACGCATATTGCGACGACCCCGGTGTGTGTGTATGTGTGTGTGTATGTGTGTGTATGCGTGTGTGTATGTGTGTGTGTGTGTGTGTGTGTGTGTGTGTGTGCGCGTCTGTCCGAGTATTTCAACTCGGCACCCAAGCGAGTTTCGGCGCCAAAATTTTGCGAGTGGGTTCCCCGGCCAAGTGCCACCCCGGACCGCGATACCAACCCTCAAGTACGTCTAGGCCCCGCGTACGAGCGCCTCAAAGTTTTGGCGGGAAAATCGCT